ATAAAAATAACACTTACTCATCATATTAAAATTTAAAAGTCTATTGTCCATATCAGTCTTTATATTGTCCTCCAAAATGAAAAAACAACTAATAATTCTTATCCAACTTTTTTTAAATAACTAAAATTCCACTATCATGTCTCATAAAAAAGAATTCCACTGTTATGCTAAAAAAATATTTATATTTATCGTTACGCAACAGCCTAGTCAAATCAGCTGCCGGTACTAAAAAAATGATGTATATATCTCTAATTCTACACTACACAATGTGCTTCTAACATCGTTACAAACATCTAAACTAAAATCTACTAGTAGGAAATTAAGGATCTTTTTGTGGATATGGACGGGTAAATTCTCTGATTTAATATGATTATTTAAAAATTATTATTGTTGATATAAAATTAAAAATAAATAAATTTAAAAATATAATTATATATACATGTATATAAATCTATTGAATCAGTTGTATTTAATTATATTATATTTTAATAATTAAATCAAATAAATCTCAAAAGATATATTAAACTAAAAAATATACGAATAATTATTTTTTTGATCTTAATTGTACATCGAAGAGTAATCATCTTTCATTCGAAAGATATATTAGACTAAAAGATATATTAGACCTGCATTTCTTCATCTTTAAATACCCCCAAATTAATAGAAGCTGAACTGCACAACAAGCTGGGTGCGACCTGATAACACAGTATACCCTCTGAAGCAATGTGTTGTTCGTGGAAGATGAGTTTTCTCATCTTAACTTTCTTAGCGCTTTCCTGTCTCAATGACCGGTTTCCGTTCGCTCGAGCTCTTGCCGGTCCAAATCCTAGCCCCCAAGTGGTTCCTCGGCGTCCAACTCCCACTACACCGCCTCCATCCCGTTCGACCCCAGTTACTCCGCCTCTAGCTGAATATTACTTCACCGTAAGCACTGTTTGCTTCTTTCCCTTCCCTGTATACTCCGCATGCCCAATTAAAAATTTCCGTACTTTTAAACATTTGTGGGTGAACTGGATGCAGGTGAAGGAGGCAAATTTTACCAAATTTTGCGTTGCTTCTTTCCCTTCCCTGTATACTTCTCATGCCCAATAAAAATTCTCCGTATTTTTAAACATTTGTGGATGAACTGGATGCAGGTGAAGGAGGCAAATTTTACCAAATTTTGTGAAACCAGGGCCATTCTGACCATAAACGGCAGCTATCCTGGACCAGAGATTCGGGTTCAGAGGGGACAGAGAGTGCGTGTTCATGTCCTAAATAA